AGAGAAGTACGTACATCCAGAGGGCAATTCTGCTGCCAAAGAGCACATGGAAGCCTGCTCAGATGCAGGGCTGGTTTTGCAATGGCAAGACCTCTGAGTTGCCTTGAATTAAATTGTCTTTTAATAGCAGGGTTCCGCTCTGTCTTTAGACTCATGGGATTATCGGTCCTGATGTAAATATGTGTTTAGCATTAGAGTAAAATGTTATGTCAATACATGGAAGACCGGTTGCCTGTTTCAGCTGCTGCTGTTTCCACCATGTGTCACAGATTAGAGCTGGCCCTGGACCGAGGCCAGGCTGGTGCTTGATACACTCGAAATCCAAAGTAGTATATGAGAGACGTTCACTAGCCTAAGCGCGGGTGATCCGTTTGATAAACTATATGACATATTGTTCCTCTTAATGCACTCTATTTATGTTTTCGTGTGAACTGGAGTAAAGGTTTTGAACTGTCATAATTCAGTAGTTAAAATCTCTCTCGCAGGAATGACCGCGGATGGCAAACGCAGCACGTGCTCGGGGCTTTCCATCCGCTCCGCTGCCTTGATTAACTGCAAATAGTCAGACCGCTGTGTTTGAAAACTTAATAGGTGGTGTCGGTGTTTAACTGATGGCATGGAAAGGGCGAGAGGATGTCCTGGAAAGGCACGGGACACCCTCTCGCTCTTTCTGTATCGTATTAGTCCTCAAAGTGCCAGCATAGCATCTGCAAGGTGATGCTATGGGAATCTTGGCTTAGTCCAATTAAAATTATTAATCTGTGTGTCCCTCAGGAGGTCTGAATGATTAGTTACCCTCTGTGTCCACTGCTGTTTCCAGGAGATAGCGTGAAGAAATTAAATGTTCTTTAACATTTCACTGAAAAAGTTTGTGGAAGCCAATATGAAGAAGCTGAAGGAAAAAAAAAAAAAAAGGCATGAATGTAAACAGCTATAAGCAGTAATGTGACAGCTAATCTAAGAATTGTTAGATCTTTAAGATATAATTATACTGTATTAACTAGATGGGATCTACACAAAGAGTCTGATGAGCCTGCCAGAGAAATAAACCACAAAGTACTAGCTGGTCTGATTTATTTTTTTCCATCGTCATGTTTTAAATGTTCATGCATACTGATTAAAATTTAGGTTAGGGTCTTGAAAGCTGTTGCCAAGTTTTGTCACTCGGGGATTTTTAGATGCTGTAGATTTAACCCTCTGTCTGTCCTTTTGATGTCTAGCTTCCCACATACCTAGGGCAGATAATATTCTGCCTTGTCCAGCTGAAGTGATGCATTCAGACTTCCTGAGGAAAAAGCCTCTTGAGTGCTTCGAGAAGATTTATTTATCCAGGATTCATCTTACTGAATTTACTGTTTGCTAAAACAGGCAGCACTGTGTTGGCCTGGCATGAGATAATATGTTTGAGTTCACTCTTTCATTCCTATGGAGTGATATTCGAGATGCACTTTTTTTTCATTTTATCTAGAATATCAGGGCAAAATAATTTCAAGTGGAGAGAGAATTTTGCCGAACATCTGGGAGCAAAATGGGAAAAATTTGATAAATGGCATCTTGCTGACATGTAATAGCAACTAGCTCAGTGAAAGAATCTAGGGCATTGCAAATAAAAGGATTTTTCTTAACTGTAGTTCAATTGGATATGTAGTTTTGTGCGTACCGTTGGTGGTAACAGATTGTTAAGATTGTCAGATTTAAAAAGGCAAAAAAATTCAGACTTAAGTCATGCACTAATCTTAATTTTGGGAGTAGCTGTGTCTGTAGACAACAGAGATGGATATTTTTTGAGTACTTAACTCAGCAGAGAAGTTTCTTGTTCAAAATGTGTATTCTATTTAAGGGTTAACTACTGTATTAAATGTATGGAAATACTTCATACACTGATTATGGTATTGTGAGGTTATATTAATAACTCAACTGCGTAAGTTTAAATTCTTTCAAGTGTTGAGTGTCCAACTGTTCTTCATTTCAGTCATTTTATGTTTGAGACGCATCAAGTTTAAAACTTGTGCGTTATTTTGATTTTATCCGTCGCACATGGAATGCCTTTATCCGTAAGCTTAAATACTCTTAAAATGAGCCAGAATCTCCTCACATGCACGAGTTTAAATTGGAAATACACTCAAAGCAGTCAGAATTTGCCAATATGCACAAAAATTGTCTGTTTAAAAAAAAAAAAAAAGGCAAAATTGAACATAGCCCAAAATATTTTCAGGAGAAAAGACTTTAGCTCTATAGAATTTTTCCGTTGTATTGCTCTACCAGTCTGATGTCAAATGACATTTTTTTCTTCATTTAACATAATTGTCTCTGAAATGTAACAGTGAAACAAACCATTAGCAAAATGCTGAGCTGTCAGGAGCAATCACTGCTTTTGCATCCAAACGGGGTACTTTCCCTTCTCCGAAGGTACTCGTTGTGGTTCCCTGTAGAGGTTCTTTGTGAAACATCCAGCATTTGAAGGGCGGCGTTGTAGCCCTGCAGATCCCACCCGTCCCCCTGAAGCGAGCTGCTGGGGCTCCGTGCGCTGGGGCTCCTCGCTGCCCCGCAGCCTCCTCTGGGCTTTTCTTCTAAACCGGGGTCTCCACCGACTTTGGTTGTAGTTGGGAGCGACCGTTGCCGCTGAGGATCAGGCATAACAAACAGAGGACAAGAAAAAAGGTATTAGCTGCCCATCTGAAAGTAAATACATGAGTTGCCTATACTGTACCAGAATGCTCTGGCGAAGTGTAAATTGTACAAACTAACCCTTTTTCTTTCTGAAGTCCCTTCCTCTTTCACCGGAGTAACTCATGGCTGAGCAGTCTGAGTTTGCTTCAGGAATATCAATAATAAAATTGGAAGGTTTTGAGAGTTGGTAGGAATTGGAAGTGGGTCAGGTGCTCCATCCAGTTGCTCCGGATGGAGACTTACTGCCAGCAAACCATCTATGGGCTCTGTAGCCCCAGCCAGCTCCACCGCACAGATGGAGGTGAGAAATTTTAGTGAATTGGATGTGAACTAGTAATTAAAAGCGGTGTTGATGATTTCAATTCCCATGCTTTTATATTTCTTAACTTTTGAGCATTTAATCTGCAGCCTTTAACGCAAACCAACAGGATTCCTTCCCTGCAGAACCATGGTAATTTTTGGATCTGTCATGGACAAACTGAGGACTTTAATATGCAGCACAGGCTTCAGCGAAGTTAACAACAGTAATTATCCATTAAGTTGTGTTGGCCAGCCACTGGAGGGGGACGAGACAGCCACTTTTCCAGGGGGATTCACAGCTGCTGGCTGGTAGTGGGGGGGAGTGCAGGTTTGGGGTCTCCCAGCCAGAGCCCCCCTTGCTGGCTCTGCTGCTGCTGCTTCCTCAACCTTCTCCCCTCTCGTCTCGGCCACCTGCCTCAGCCTCGTTCTTTCCCAGGTTTGGGCGGTTTCACAGGCATGATGAAACATGATGATACCCGCTGCCAAATTTCTGGGCTTTAGAGCATACTGTTAGCAAGTTTTGTTTAAGCAGGATAACTTTAGTACGTGGGCTGGAGCGTGTGCACGCACTCGCTCTCACTCGTACACATGCAGGACTTCCTTGTAACTTTATTCCTGGGAATGGTTAAATCCATCCAGATAATGATTCAGCCTGAGGTTAAAAACATCACCACGAATGGAGAATATCATGGGCTGAGTTAGGCAGGGTAATCCATGGGTATCCGATCCCTGCCGCATTTGCAATAGATAGGAGCAACAGCAGAGGTTCCCAAATTGTTGTGCGGTTGTTACGTCAAAGTCATAGATGGGAAAGGTGGTTCCTGGAATCTCTGTGTGACTGTAAATCAAACGTCTTTCCCCTGATGGGCACCCATAGAGCTCCGATGGGGTCCCTGCTGCTCCCAACGTCCCTGTCCGCTGGCATTCCCCTGGGAGCGCAGCCCCGTGAAGTAGCAAGACCAGTAACATGGCACTGTCAAAATGAAGATGTTTGTTAATTTTGTCGTTTGTTGTGTAAAAGGTTACCTCAGCTTGCTGCAGTAACATAGATTTTATCAGGTCGTCGTTTATCATACAGTCACCTTAAATCTGTCTGCAGCTTGACTATACTGAGCTTACTGTCAGTCTGACTCTTTGAAATTATGATTTGTTATGGTACTTTTCCGACATATTCACCATAATTGGGATCCTATCCCAAAACCTCAGACGTAACGTCAATAGAAAACATTCTTTCTATAAATACATCCTCCTCTTCCTATAAGTAAATATATGCTTATTATTTTTATCATTATTTTTGCATACGTTAAGCTAAATGGCTTTACAGTTTGCTGTATGGCAAACTGCATTCAGCTTTCCCAGTAACATTCTTTATAAAATGGATCATACAAAAGCCTGCAGGATTTCTTCGCGTGAAGATAGTGCCACCTGAATTTTCCCATAGGCGGTGTTTAAAGTCAGATTGGGTTGTGACATTAAATAACACCATATGGTGTATTCGTTCCCTGCTGCTAGAACTGGATGCTCAGTGCAGTTTCAGTAGCGTTTTACAAGAGTTGATTGATTTTGGGGTAGGTTATAGGTTCTCAGAAGTTAGATGATCTTGAAAAAAAAAAATTAGTGTTTGTCTTTTAAATACCAGGAGCACAACATTTGCAAGGGCTGTTTGTATTAATGTAAAGCTGGGGCCAGGCCTGTATGTATGTGTATATATAATTGTGTACATAGAAAAGCTGTGTCAAACCTGTCGAGAACAGAACTTGGAATGAAACTCTACTTCAGATGATTAACTTTTGGGGACTTGCACAAACTATTTTTCTCCTCCAGGTGATTTTCTTTCTAAGGGGATGCCAAAAGCATTAACGCAGACTATCAAAGCTCCGTTAAAGGAGTTTGCCATTTTTGTTGTATTTCTGAACCTTCAAAAATAGAGATTAAAGCACCTGCAGATGCAGACACTACATTCCATGCATGGCGTGCTTTCCGGCATCCTTTCATTTTGATTCTTCCCTTTTTTTTTTTTTTTATTACAGTTCTTTGAGGTTCCATTTGACTCAAATATGAACAGGACAAAAAACAGACCACTGGTGCGAGGACAGATCAGGTAAGGCTATGCACACCTGCTCCGGCTCCTGAGAAATGAGTCTTCACGTTGCTTTTATCTATCTCCAAGCTTCTCTCTCTTCACATGACGAAAAATAGCAATTTCAGACAAAAGACTTAAGAAAGAAGTGCACCTCTCTGTTCTTCGATATTTCCTCGTGTTTATAACTTTCCTGTGAGGAGGTTGGGCAATCAGCTGTCCTCTAAAATACTGAATTTCTCAAGACAGCAGAATTTCCACTGCTGTTCTGTATTTCTTCATGTGTGACGACTACATGCACAGCGTGGCAGCACACAGTTATGTTCCACTGAACTTTTGCATTAGTTTCTAACAACGTATCTTTAAAATTTCACATCTGAGAACAAAGACAAAAGCGTATATTGTTTTTAGTAGTCACATTTAGCTGTTAGATCATGAACATTCCTTTGAATCTCCCGGCAGAGGTATCTGCAACTCATTTTTTTTAGTGATTTTGTAAGGCACCATGTTGTCTTTGCCTTTTCTACATGTTTAGCGTAAAGCTGGGGTGAAGACTCGCAATGATGGCATCTTATGAAAATAAAGTAAAAATTTGTCATCATTTAGTTGATCGTCATCCGTAAGTAAATCCCTCCCTCCTCCCCCCAAAGAGCCCTGTATTAGCATAGGGATTCCCTTAAAAAAAAAAAATAAAATCCTTCATTCACTCGGTTTTCTGGATTATATGTCAGATCGGTTTCTCAAAGGCTGTTTTCCAACTAAAAAAGCAAAGTGAAAAAGAACATCAACAAAAAGCTCTAACTTATTTGCAAACTAAAACTGAAGGCCCAATTCATAAATGATTCAACAAACAATTTTAGGATTGCATTTCCATGATTTGTGCCAAGGATTATTTATAACAAAATTATGTTTTCCCTTAGGCTTCTGCGAACAGTTGGTCCTATTTATTTCTGTGTTTTATCCATCACCTTTGGAGGACTGAAAAAAATGTGATGGATGAAATTACAAGAAAATTGAGACAAAATAGTAAAGTGAACCTTGGGGGTAAATTCCCTCTCATTGTAAATAGTTAGAGTACGTCAATAAACTTGTTCCGATTTGTTCTCGAAGATGGTGCTAATTACAGATTCCTGAGTTGAGTTAATTTTATTTAAAAACCTATTTTAGGGACCACTGCAGTGAGGGCATCTATTGTACGTACAGTAAATCAGCGTTAATTGTGCAGTTCAGGGGAGCTGCGCTTCTCCTCCACTGGCATGTGGTCCTTTAGCCCTGGAAGAAGGAACACTTGTTAGGAAGAAAGATGATGGGGGGATTTTTTTTTATTTTTTTTTTTTTAACCAGAGTCTAATAGCGTGGCTTGCAGTGTTTCTGGAGTCAAAAATATAGCTAGGAAACTTTCTGTCAACTTTTGAGTCAGAGAAAGCAATTTGTTTTATGAGTTTTCAGTGTCCTTAAACGAACTTCACTGTCATCTGAATGCACCACAGATTGGCAAAACCATATTTAACAGATTTTCTTACTTTGCCCCCCCCGCCCCTTCATATTTGCTTTCACCACAAAATGGTAATGTTGGGGACTTTGTGTAATCACTCATCAATCTATCTACCTGACTGTCAACAGCTAATTTAAAGTTCTTTAAAGTGTCACTTACCTTGAATAATGCCGCTCTCGTTCCCTGTAGACTGTTGAGCATGCAGACCTTGACTGGGGTTATTTCTTTTGCGGTGTGCCAGAGGAGAATAATCCAGTGCAAGCGATCTAACCTTGTTATATTTTGCCACATATTCCCTGGTGTTCCTTGAACTCTTTCCTTCCTGGCTGATTAAATAAAACCCTTAAATGGTTATGCTAAAACTAGTCAAAAAAAGACAAGACAGAGATGGATAAATTGTATGTAAGAGGCTGGTGTCTTGGCTCTGGGAAGGGATCCAGAGCGCTTGGAGTATGTACAGAGGTCTTGCCCAAAATTTGTCTGACATTTGAGTTTTGGCATTTCCTTCCCTTTAGCTGCTTCATATCATGAAATGTTTGCTGCTTTTTTAATTCTGCTGTGTTACAACATCTGTGATATCCAGTGCAAATGAGGCATCATTTTACGATCTGTCTTCATCTGCACTGTTTGTAAATATGTTGTGATTTCCCTTCTTTTTTTCTTTCTTTCCTTCCTTTTTATTTATTTGGGATCATTCTTGTTACAGAACTGGTCAGTATGGGTAGCAGTTTTTTTATGGTCCAGTCCTGAGCTTGAGATCCCTTTTGAAGAGTGAGAAGGTCATTCACTCTCCATCGTGTTGGCTCACTGCACCTCCTTGGAAAGGCTTTCAGTGGTGGCTTTGATGTGAACTTCTGCCCACTGAGAAACTGCACTGAGACCAGTGACATTTTTTGTAGAGGTTGTGGCATCATGAAGACGATTCTTAGATGCTTTGAGCTTGGGCCAGAATCAAATCGGTAACCCCCAGTGAGAGGTCCTTGGTGTTACCGAGTCATCCGGTCCCTGGATGAGCTGGCGTCTCTGTTTTAGATAAGATAATTCATTGGAGCTGGCTCATTAGGAAATGTTACGCTGTTGTAGAGAAATTATTCCTGTGTGTTTCACTTTGTGGCCTCCATTTGCAGCTTCAGCCCCAAGTTTATTTAGCTTTAAGATCAGCTGTCAGTTCTAACTGACCTTGCTTCCAACATTTCTCCCCTTTCTTTCTGCCTGAATCCTTCACTTTGAGAAAACAACCCAAACTCCTCTATCTTGGCAACACTTGTGTGTCTTCATTTCCCTGCATACACATTCACGTGGTTCCCAAGTCCCCATGTCTCAGCCTTTTCCACAAGTTGCCGAGGACTTGCAGTTTCCTTTGGCATCAGTGAGGCACCTCAATGGAGTGTGAACATGGTCATGGCCTCTGAGGTCTGGCTGGGGACAGAGTGTCGTTATCTTACCGGTGACACTGCAGAAGTGTTTAAGTTACAGAATCGATTTGGTTGGAAGAGTCCTCTGGGATCATCAAGTCCAACCTTTGCCCTAACACCACCATGTCAAGTAGACCATGGCACTAAGTGCCACCTCCAGTCTTTTCTTAGTTAGGCAGCTTTGGCCTGACCATCACTCCAGAGAGCACCCTGTGAGCCAGGAGCCAGTTCTGTAGAGATCTCTGGAAGGATGAGATTTGGAAAAGCAATTGTCCTCCATCCTTTGTGAAGTCCTCTCCATATTGCATTAACTTCATGGTTGAAATAGTTATTTAGAGGCTCGGTGTGCCCCTACTGTATATATTTTATATCATTTGGCCTGGACCAGACCCTACAGGCAGTGAAATGGAAAGACTCTGCAAAGCTGGGGTCTACTGTACATAGGGACAAGAGTACATATACCTTGTTTGCCAGCCCCAAACCCACTGCTGATGCCCTCAGGGAATCTTCTGACGCTGTTGCTAGATTTGTGACAAACAGCACCTGATAGTTCATTGACTGCTTGCTTTACAATGTCCTATTTAATTTGTAAGACTCTGAAAAAAATGTTCCCTTTGAGCAATGAGACGTAACCATCCTTATTCTCTATTCAGAGAGTAATCAGAGACATCCTGTTGCAAAAATAACAAGAGTAGACCCAAACACAGCATGCCACTAAACGCCATCCATCATTCCAGCCTACCCACATGTCCTCCTCCCTCCTCTGACCCCTCAAGTCTTGTTTGGAAATACAAACAGCTTGAGATGTTCTTCATACTTGGGCTGCAGTGCTAAACTCTTTGAGCGTATTTGCATTTTGCATTATAACAACAGCTGATATTATTTTTCCTGCTATGAATTGTTTTTCTGTCATTGACGAGGAAAAATTTCATGCGCTCGTACAACCTTAGATTCGACTGAAATGGCAGCAGCTTTTCCTGGTTTCCTGTTGGGTATGATTTATTCCCTTGCTTTTTAAGGTAATGGATTTAATTTTCCTGCAGATTAATTTAAATAAATCTCTAGTATTAGCTGCAGTAGCTGAGTGAGCTTAGCCTCAAGGATGACAAGTGTCCTGCTCCATTATATTGTACAAAGTGACAGTTTTGATTGCCCTTCTACACAGAACTGCACACACTTTGTTAAAAAGCAGCTGTTTTTATGAACTTACAGTACTCCTGGATCTGCTGTGCTAAGCACTCATAAAAAACCTAATAGTTGTTCAGGAATAGTTTTTCATCTTAAAAAAAAAAAAAAAGTCATCAAACAGCATGGTCTAAATAACTAATTCACGACCATGTAGACACCTTTCAGTTCTGCTCTTGCAGTTATTTTGCAACTGTTTTCTGTACCAGGTCCTTTGGCTTTGGTCTTAGCAGTGGCTGCAGCGTCTGCCTGGGAGTCGGGCTGGGATTTCTCCCTGGCTTTACCTCCAGGTTTCACATCGCCCGGGCCGTGAAGCATTGTAAGGCAGCGGCAGAGGATGGTTCAGACTGGAAGGGACCTCTGGAGAGCTTAGGACCAAGCTTCTGCTCACAGCAGGGTCAGCTCTGAGGTCAGACCTGTTTGCTCCAGGCTTTATCCAGTCTTGTCTCAAAAACCTTCCATGTAAGAATAACATGCTATGGAATTTAATTATATTCTCCTTATGCAGAATATTTGTGCTCTCAAGCTTGCGCATTTAAGAAGTTTAAGTCTGTTAACTTAGCAGAAGTAGGCACAACACAGATAATGCCTTGGGTGCTTCAAAAGAAATAAATCTTCATGTTATTCGGTGAATATTTTTTCCTAGAATACCATTAACCTCCTCACTTAGCAATGCACAAGGAGCTGTGTTCTGTATATGAGCTTCCTGCTTCTTACGGCCACGGTTGATGGTTATTGCAATTAATGGAGACAGCAACGCCTTTCCTACTTGTTGACATTTCTGAGTGGAGTGTTGACTTTGGTCAGTTTAAACTATAAGCCAAACACTTGAAGAATGAGACCAAAAAGAGCTCCTAAGCTAAGTTTCTCACTGCTGGCTTATATTTATGAATTGTAGTTATAATTGCAAATATATAAGTTGACCA